TCCAAAAACATCACTTTGTGGTAAGCAGTCGCCTCCATTAGTTTTGTAGTTTGTTGAATTGCAAGTGAGACAACTATATTTGTTGTTGCATGTTTCACATTTTAATTCTCATTTATAACAGTCAAGTCCAACTCGGAAATATTCGTCTTTGCAATCAACGCAACCACTCCCAAAACTTGCAAACTGTTTGCACCTCATTTTCAAATCTTCGTTTGTGTTGCATTTGTAATTTGACAAATATGTGTTTTGTGGACAGCTGAGACATTTTGTCGATGTTTCAAAACATGTTGAACAACTTGAGTTACAACTTTTACACTGTTTTGTTGGTATATCGAGATAATAAGTGTCTTGACACCTCCAACACCCAAAACTATTTTGTACAATACAATTTGGTTCTTTGTTTTTCTTGCATACGTTATCATATAAAATATATTTACTTTCACACTCATTACATATTCCATTTAATTGATATATACAATTATCAATTGTTGTTGTGCATTTTCCATTTTCATTATTTGGAATAACACAATCATTGAAATTACACATCCCATTTGTGTCTATTTCACTTGTATTGTCACACTTTGTCGCTTTTCCGTTTTCACACGAATCTGAATTTGTGTATATTTCATTACATTTTAAACAATTTGTTGAGTGAAGAACATAACCTACTTTACATGAAACAACGTTGTAATTGGTTGTCACCTCACTGTTAACATCACCTTCTACACATATACCATTGTTGTTAATATACCCATTGTTTGTGTTGCATATCTGGCACTTCCCATCAAATTGAACAATTAAACAAGTCGCATCACTTACACACAACCCATTTTGTAATAAAAAACAGTTGAACATTTGAGGCACCTGTTTGATATTGTATATTCACAGTTTGTAATTTGTTCACATTTTGAATTGACAAGAGAATACTGTTTTTTTACAAGACACACATTTGTTTTTATTAAAAAAACAATAATTACAATTTACGTCATCACAAATCGTTGGGTCTTCGCATCTTTGAGAAGTTTTGTTGTATATTCCATCTGTGCACCGCAAAACAACTTTAAGTGACTCAAGACCATTTTTTGTGTTTATTGCTGCGTTGAGTTGTACACCTTCAAATTTTAATTTTGTTTCTGAAATAAAAATAACAGTCTTTGTTAACGAAAATACATTAACTTCAACTGTTATCGGTGTAGAAATACCAAGAACTACATTGTTTGTTTTGTAAAGAGATATTTGTGTGTTTCTAATTGAAACACTTTCAGATGAAAACAAATTATTTGTTTTATAGTTTGTTATTGTATTTGTTTTGGTTGAATTGATATTGACATACAACGAAGTCGCGTTTTGAAGTGGAGTGATATCCCAGTCTTCTGTGTCACCACATGGACAATATGGTTCAATGTATTTAACATTTTTATTTGTAACATCCTCAACATGACAAAAAATATTATTAGAAGTACCATATCTCAATAATTTGCCACCCATTAACAACTTAGTACTGGCTAAAGTTTTTTCAGTAATTATAAACTGTGAACATAATATATCAAAATCATTATTTGATTGCACAGTCGAGTTTGTAATAGTCAACGCTTTTGAACCAATATAAAATATAATAGGAATATCTCTAATATCCCTGTTACTAACAACAATCGTCGAATTAATAAACACAAATTCTGTATCAACACTAATAAAAGACTTTCCATTCACATTGAGTACTGACTGATATTATAAACTTTCAGAATTTTTACAAGTCGAAAAACAACTTCCGTATAGAAATGACTTCATGGTGATTTGTGCAAAATCTACAAGTCCGTTTAATGTAATTACACCTCCCTCGATAACATATTAAAAAACGAAGTTTATTTATACGTTATTTATATTTATTTATCTTAAAAAGTTGTTTAAACAACTTTTTAAGAAGTTGTTTAATGTTAAATATGACTGTTCAACTTAAATTAAATATGAACCAATATAAATACCAGAAAAATCGTTTAATGTTACACGTGCTTTATTATAAAGGTATAATTATTCAACACCATTATTTTTTGAATTTGATTTCATTACCAAAGAAGCACCATTATAAATATATATAAATGTATTAAAATTATAATGGAATTGTCGTTCATAGTAAAGATAGAAGAATGATCAATATAAAAATAATAATTAGTTTTGATAAACGAGTTTAGATTCATAATAACCAAAACATTGTTATAAATACCGAATATATTCTTTAAAAATAAAGCAGAGTTGTCTTCCATTGTTATTTGACAATATTGATTAAAATATATTTTTATTTGTTGTAAAACGCGAGTTTTTATTCATTTCTAATTTAGACGAATTGTAAAAATTTATATCTTCTGCCAAGTTTAGGTTTGTATTTTCAAAAAAAACAAAATTGAGCCATTACCTACACATGTCACGTTACCATTCATCTCTACATTTGCATTTAATATCATTTTTAACTGAATGATATTTGGAGATGCAGTTAAACCAACAGTTATATTTTTGTATGCTGTACGCGTTTTGGATACTGTAATATTTATTTTTTTTCATAACATGTACACAAGGGTGTGAACAACAAGTTGTTTAAAATTACCATTCACATTCTTTTCATTCTATAATAATTTTGTATTTGTTTAGTTTGAAATTAAATGTTTACACACTCAAAAGATTACATGTTTGATAATTTTATCCGTTTTTTTCACTGAACATTTAAAGTATAAGAAAAAATTATTTCATATTAATTACCATAAAAAATTATTAAAAAGCAACTGTTTAATCATGTTATTATTTCACAATTCTAATAACAGTTGTGATGTCATTTTTATAATTGTGTTGTTTATGTTTGTAGTTAGACATAATAAATAAAAAAGATAATATTTAAAAATTTACATTATTATTTTTAACAATGAGTTATTAAAAATAATAGTTTTTCGATGTAGTTTGACAATGAAAATAATCAGACTCATTCTAAATACAAAAGATATGTTCAATTGTCAAAAATATGTCAAAAACAATTATTCTCTTTGGTTTATGTTTTCAACAACAATTCCATTAAAACATGATTGTTAATTATTTATTTATCATTCCATGTCTTGTCACATTGGAAACTGTGTATGTGAATATCAATAACTACATTTTTAAATTGAAATACAATTGTTTAAAAATGAATATTTGTAAAGAAATACAATTATTTTTTTGTTTACCAAATATTTTTTTGTAATCACTTTTTTTAACATAAAAATAAATAATTATTTTTTTATATTTATTTGACACGCATTTCAACCCTTTTTTTACCAGTTGTTAATTATTTTATATGTTTTTACTTCAAATATTATCAGCCCAATCATTTTGATGGATCTTCAAATTCATTTTAATATTTCATTATTATCTACATTTATACTTTTCAAAATATAAATGTATTATTAAAAACATCAAATGACGTGGCATATACTCACTATTTTACACAATCTAACATTTAAGTAATCTCTGTTCCCAGGAGGTGGTTGGGGAGGGGGGCCGGCTTTATGGGTCTCTTTTTTATACTTTTCACGCGTTATTGAAAATCTGATAAAATCTGTTTTGCAAATATTTAATTGATTTTTTCAATTATTTTAATTTTAAATAAACAAAAATGAAATATTATTAAATTATCTCATTTGCTTCGATGAACTTCAGTGTTTGATGGGAAACAACTCTCACTAATATATGTCACACTTGATGGTATTGTAACATTACTTAAACTATTACATCCATCAAAACAAAAACCACCAACATATGTCACATTAGATGGTATTGTAATACTATTCAAATTATTGCATCCATAAAAACAACCATCACCAATTGATTTCACATTAGATGGTATGTAAACATAAGTTAAACTACTGCATTCACTGAAACACTCATCACCAATTGATGTTACACTAAATGGTATTGTAATTTTGCTTAAACTACTGCATTCATAAAAACAATAATCACCAATTGATGTTACACTCGATGGTATGTTAACACTACTTAACCTGCTACAGACAAAAAAACATTCATTACCAATATATGCAACACTCAATGGTATTGTAACACTACTTAATCTGTGACATCCATAGAAACAACCATCACCAATTGATGTCACAATTGATGGTATTGAAACATAAGTCAAACTACTGCATCCACTGAAACAATATTCACCAATAGATGTAACACTTGATGGTATGTTAACACTGCTTAAACTATTGCATTCATAGAAACATTGATTACCAATTGATCTAATGTTTCGTGGAATATTATTGCCAAATTCCTCTCTATCATTTTGAATGTAAGTGACATTTTTAAAGTCGATGTTTCGATTTTTGTTTCTGTCAACAGTTTTAAAGTCAACATTGAACCACACAATAATTCGAAAGAACTCTTTCTTCAAAACACCTTTATTTTCACAATCTCCATTTTCTTCTCTGTTGATCATAAATCCATTGCCAAAATTATCATCATTTTTATTCCATAAATGAAGTGTCTCGATGTTTGGGAAGAATCCAAGTGTTTTGAAATTTAAAGGAATTGGGTTGAAGTGGAACTTCTCCATGTTACCACAAAACTTCTTGCAAACAAACTCCAAGTTAATAAAGTCTTTGATAGTTGCGAAGTACTTCGAGACTATCATGATGTGATAACCAGTTAGTTGAGACATTCTGATATTCACAGTTGTTTATTGTTTAAATATTTCAAAATTTTTTTTGTAGCTGATTTAAACAAATTATTAATTTAAAAATCATTTACCTTTTCAAGCTATAAAAAATGGATTGTGCTATCAATATAACTATTGTTTTTTATCAAAATTAATTCAATTAATAAAACCTGCAATTAAATAATTATTTAAATTTAATTAAAACCAGACAAAATTTATTTTATTATATAGACAAATGAAATACATGAACAAGTTTACATGACATCTAAAATTAATAACAATAAAAATATTCAATTTATTATTAAAAAACTATTTACCACAAAAAACTGAAAAAAATATAAAATCTTCAAAATTAATCATTAAAATCAATACAAAGTCAATAC